TTTCCATCATGACCACCGGAAGGAATCGAACCTCCGTCTCCCTTTCAATTGGAACCTGGATGATCCACGAAATATGCAGCGAGGGTGACCACCTCGGTCCACAATGGCTTCATTATGCGTACGTAGAAAAGGGTCAGTACATTCATCGTCGAGTCGGCAGGACTAATAAACGAGAAAAAGGCCAGGTCAAAACAATGGACGGGAAATCGCGCCTCGGCCGCCATTGACCATTCCGCTCTTCCGCCGAAAGACAGATTTGATTCTGAGCTGGGCAGCGACACTGTATAGATAACCCGCGGCAAATTCGTAAAGGAGCCAAAAAAAAAAAAGCGTTCATGCGTCTTGTATGCCACAGCGCGAGGAATCGAACCTCGGACTCCCTCGATCGCGTTGACTCGCTGCGTGCGTATGCGGGGAGGGTACACGATGGCTTCCTTCTTCACATGAATAGCCAGTAATTAGTGTGCACAGGCAGCGAGCCCCGCCGATGAACCTCAAGCCCACGCTCAGAATTGCCAAAATGTAATCCCTGTGTATACGAGTAAACGGTAATGCCGTAGAGAATAAGGTGGCGAAGGATATGTCAAATAAATTGTGGGAATAGGAATATGAGAACGGGGGAATAGCCCGCACTAGGCGGGTGCGGGAGAGACAACGAAAGGAACAACAGGATGCGGATAGCTTGTGGATATGCGTACGGACGGATAAGAATAGGAAGTTGCGGATAGCGTGTAGCTTGTGGGTGAATAGAGACGAGACGAGACGGAAGAACTGTACGCAAGAAGTCAGCGTACGCCCTCGTGTCGAACTTGCACCCAGATACGCACCGCCCAACGAGGAAAGAATAACTACGCCGCTCCCGCCTGCACGACCAAACCGACAAGGTTGAGCATAACATCGTTGAAACTGGCCAAATTCTGGGCGCCCTGCGGCACTACACTCGTTGGCGTCGCACTCGCAGACACACTACTCGAGCTCGGCTGAGCGCTGGACTTCGGTGCACTGCTACTCGGGCGGGCGCTCGAACTGGGCCGCACACTCGAGCTGGAGTGCGTGCTGCTCGTCGTAGTATGCGTGCTGCTCGTCGTTGTGTGCGTAGAAGTAGTCGAATGCGTAGTAGGCGTCGGCGTACTGGTATGCGTGGTAGTAGTCTTTTTCTGCGTGCTCGTCGTCGTCGTGGGATCATCCGAGCCGTCGGCGAAGGACCACGAGCCGTAGAACTCGCCGATCCCCGGATCGCCGACGAAGAACTCGAAGAGGCCTTGGGTTAGGTCGAGGGAGCCCCAGGTGTCGCAGGATGCGCACTGTGAGAGATGTGTATTAGTATTAATCCTAAGGGAGGCGAAGGCGGGTGAGGCGACGGAGGCAAGATAGGACGCCGGGTTTGGTGGGCACGAGGGGATGAAGCAGTGGAAGCCGGGGAGAGATTGAAGAATAAAGGGAAGGATAAAGGGAAGAGAGCAACGAGGGGGAGGGAGCAGGAAAACAGAGGGAAGCAGCGAAAACGCACCTCATCAACGCAAGTAGCAACCGTGCTCTTCCCATTGTAATCAATCCGCAACTGCTTCCCACAGCACGCCGAGCCGTCCCCGTATTGGTTGTAGTTCATCGCTACGAACTGTGCGCACAAATAATTTTCATCAACTCTTGTTGTCAAGTAAAATATGCGAGGCCGGGAGACGCACCCAATCACTATCTTTGTGGTTCTTCCCCGTGCACGCGTCCGGCCCCGTGTCGGTCGGGTACCAGGTCATAGCTACGCCCGTGTACGAGTCTCTCTTCTCCATCTCCATCTCCCCGGAGGTGGCGTTCGCAGGCCCGCGCAGACGCAGAGCGAGGTTGCTGTGTGTGCGCAGCGCGGCGGGGAGGTGCGGTTGAGGTTTCGAGGCGAGGATTCCGGTCGCGCAGAGCAGCAGTGCGCTGAGGAAGTGCATCGTCGTCTGTCTCTATGTGGTGAAAAAAGTCTATGGGGTATCGAGTCCAGCGGGTAAAATCCTGCGTTTGGAGCAAGGCTGACTTAAGGAGAGTCCAAACGAGCGAGCGTGTGTGGGCCGGGCACAAGAACGGGAACGAGCGCGGCGACGGCGGCGGCGACGAGGAGGAGGGAAGAGAAAGGCAACGTGAGAGTGATTGATGGATACGGCGCTGATGTTGATATGTCATCGGCCACGTGGTCTGTGGTTCAATTTTTTTGGGTTGAACGATTGGTTGAATTCTTTTGAAATTTTTGGCGCCGGAGGCGCGGAAGCATTATCGGGTGGGCCACCGATAGATTTGCCGGTGTTGTCTGAAGACTCCGCTGGCATGGCGCTGAGAATCGGAGGAACAGGAACGATCAGAGCGTTGTTGAGGTTCTATTTTTGTGTGCGGCCAAAATTGGCCGCCCAAGGCCGCCCCCGGCGCTTCCACGTCTAATTTTCTGGATAATTCTATTTGGCACCCCCAGGTGCCGTTGGCACCCGGGTGGTGCTATATGGCACCCTTGATTTGTAAGGTGATTTGATGGCATTGACTGATGGCGCGTGCGGCGGGATGGGCGGGATAGCCCGTACTTCGCTATTTCGGCCATAACTTCACATCTAGCTAGTGTAAAATCAACCTCGCCTTACACGTATGTACTTCCGAGGTATTCCCTCTAATTTTCAGCCGAAAAAGTTACAACTGGGGGCCCAGAATGCCACAAAGTCAGCATTTTTCGCCGTGTTTAGCTCTAAATCGCATGTAAACTTGGCTGACACCCTCAAAACCTTCCAGAAAACAGAATCGATGCCCTGCGGGTATATTGAGCGGCTTCAAACAGCTTCATTCACCCGAAAACGGTGCGGAAAGAGTGGTGCAAGCAGGATCAAGCTTTCGGCGAGCCATCGGCAACTGTTCTTTTATCAAACTTAGCCGGGCTTGCCGTGGTGCCAAATAGAAAAATGTTATATGGCACCCGGGTGGTGACGGCACCTGGGGGTGCCAAATAGAATTATCCTAATTTTCTGCCTCCCCCGTTCTAACCGTCCCGCCGTCCCATTGAAGGCTAAAGAATTCTACCAAGCAACCCTCTGTGATCGTGACCTATGTTTGCTTCCCCGGCTCTCGGTGCAATTTTCTTAAAACACGGACAGCCTCTAAACCGCCGGGCCCCGGCCACTGCTCGTGCAAGTCAGTTAGGCGAGTCTGCATTTATTCATTGCACGAATCGCTAAAGCCGGAGCCACTACTGCCCTGCAACAGAAAGAAAAGTTCTTCTTCATCGCTGTATGGCTTGGGCCCGAGTCGAATGGGCTGTGTCGGCAGAAATCTGAGGAAGGTTGCCCAGACTGTCGAACGCAAACGCCTCCCAGACGCTACCAAGCCTCCTGCACCTTCGTTCGCCCACGAAGATCCATGCTTGAGTCCGGGCCGCTCCCCCAGCTCTCCTTGCACCTGTTTCGTCAATACGGTGTTGATACGGTGTCTAATAATCAGCAAGTGTTGAGTTAGGGTTTCCCATGGGTTGTCCCGACTGGGATTTATATAGAAACTCTGGCAGCGCCATCGGCAAAAAGGACATAGACAAATTACGGCTCGGGCCCGAGTCGAACAGGCGTTATCTGCAGAATTCTTTTCACCAGTTTTGTGCGGCATTCACCGTAGACGCGTTCCGGACGCTACCGAGCCTCATTCACCTGCTTTGAGCCCCGACGTCCGTGCTCGGACTTGAGCTTTCCGCAACTGAATTCTAAGAACTTGAAGGTCTAACCTCAATCGACACCTCTTTGTCTTGTACCCCGGCGAATATCATTTTCCGACTGAGATTCAAGCAACATCGTAGGTAATTTTGACCACGGCATTCAAAAATCCTCTCTCCTTAGTGCCTCATGCCTGGGACCCGAGTCGAACGGGCGGGTCTGCAGATATTTTCGATTCTGCCCCTGCGGAACGCAGATGCCTCCCACACGCTACCGAACCATACGTCGGTCAATTCTCTGGCAAGACATAGCAGAGAGAAAAAGGCTACCACTGCAGACTGCGCATCCGCATCCTTCACAATGCCGACGCTATTGCACCCCCCCAAAAAATAGTTCAGTTTGTTGCCACGGTTCGGGCCCGAATCGAACGGGCGGAGTCTACAGGAACTTTCCTTTTTCCGATAAATCAAATGCAGGTGCGTCTCACACGCTACCGAACCTCTATCACCTACGCTCAGCCACCGTCATCTGTCCTCGCATTCCAGCCTTCCGCTTGTCACCCAATATTTATCAGAACTGTTTGTGACAAGAAATTGCCAGATGTTGGATTTTCAAACTCACTCAACACCTCTTTGCCTTCCACACCGGACAATACCAGTATGTGCATTATTCTGACTTGATCAGTAAGTGCATCCCGCTACAGAACAGCGGGAAAAACAAAAGGTGATGTCCAACAACGCTTATGGCTCGGGCCCGAGTCGAACGGGCGGTGTCTGCACAACTACTCTTTCAACCAACCATTGAAAGCGGACGCGTCCCGGACGCTACCGAGCCTCCTACATCCCCTTTCAAGCCCAGATCTCCAGTTAACGCAAACCGCCGATGAGTGCAACTTTTTTGTACGGACCCTTGTCGGAACATCGGAGAAGCAATGGCATTGCGTTATCCCTTTTTTGCAGCCTTGGTGGAAACGGAAGTTGCGGTCTGTATGCAAATCCGCATTCGGCGTTCTCAAAACCGCCGAATTCAAGTTCTTTATTCAACGCAGATGCGTCCCGCACGCTCCCAACCCTCTTGCACCTATTTTGAACCATGACTATCTTGTAGTGAGCCGGGGGTGAATTTCTTGTACGGGACTCTGCGCGTTGTGGAAACTGGGCGCAGGCCTATTGTCAACAATGGCTTTGTACCGCACTGGGGTTGGTAAGCAGGCAGGTACACATTCTTTTGGCCCACAGGCCCACAGTTAAACGAAGCTACGTCCCAGACCTTTTTATTGAACTGCTGCGAAGCAGACGTCGGGTTATACCCAACCTAAAAAGATGGCTACGACTTGCGTCATGGCTCGGGCCCGAATCGAACGGGCAGTCTGCAGAAATATTCCGCGTCTCAATTCTACGCAGAGGCGTCCCAGACGCTACCGAGCCTCTTGCTGCCAGTTTCGAGCACAACTGTTTATCAACGAACTATTTCTGTGTGAACAACTTGCCTGCTGGGTGAGTTAAACCCAATGCCGCATTCAAGGTGGGCCGATAAATGGGCTCCTGGCCTCGCCGCGAAAGCCAGCCAGAAAAAAGACAGGTGCGGCCAAACAGACAGGTACCTCCCCAGACCCTCTTATGGGCGATATACTGTGCAAAAATTGGCAAAAAGTTGCAGGGTTTTGGGTCGCAGCTTACAACAACATTCCGGAGACTGGGTGACATCCCCCATGCTGGCTTACATCTTGCACTTGGGTTACATCTCGCTGCAGGTGGGTTACATCTGATTTCCCATCAGCATTGACATTATTTGGAATCTGATCGGATACGCTCGGGGTATCGGCTCAACGAAGAAAGGCTTTATGTGAAGGCAGGCAGAGAGATGGGATGTCCCGGATGGTGAATATCAGGTCACTCTACCACCCAGGAGTATGTGGGCACCCTGGGCTCGAAGTAGTCTGGCTGCCTTCGTCAGATCGGTGATTTCAATCTCCTCTGCGTCGATGGCCAATGTAAAGATATCATAGGATCCATTCGAATAAAACATGATTTTAAGAGATGAATAGTAGTCTTTACCACCCAATTGTGTCTGTTTCAAGCATGACCTGGTGTTTCAACAAAGCGAACTGAGTCCGCTTTCCTTTATGGATATCGGCATGCTGATCGTATCATTGTTCCGATCAACGATGTTGTGATATCGAACGAATTTTAACCCCAACCTCAACCAAGTCTCCTAGAAGCAAGCCAACATAGATGTAGCTGATAACCCTCCAATTGAGACTCACAAATAATTGGGTGCAACTATTTGGCTTAGTTGTAACCAGTTGGGCGAAAAAACAGAAGATGTGACCGAAAACCCTGTTTCCACCGAGATGCGACGATCAGATAATTTTTACACAATATATGTGCCATATGGGCGATATACTGTGCAAAAATTAGCATAAAGTTGCAGGGTTTTTGCTCGCAGCTTACAAACACCTTGGGTTACATCTCCCTTGCTGGCTTACATCTTGCATCTGGGTTGCATCTCGTTGTCTTGGGTCGCATCCGATCTGCCATCAACATTGGCATTATTTGGACTGTGATTGTATCGGCTCACTTGTAAATGCTTTTGCTCTGGCTTTTGAGGCGAGGGAATTCCATGGGATAGAACCTTTACTACATGGGCAAATCTAATAAGGTGTCCGAGGCATCGGGTGAAGAAACTCTTTGGCATTCTATTTTTCAACCTCGTCCCTCAAGATACCCCGTTAAGGTATAGAAATCCTCTTTCTCAGCAAATATCATCCTGTTTGCTTCTTATAGCTGTTTGAAATCCAATGTATACTCCCTGAGGCATACAGCCATGTCTGGAGAAGGAGAACTTTGACAATTTCCGTTTATAGATCTCGGCACGATGATCATATCATTGTTCCGATCACTTTGGTTGAAATAGCCAAACTTTTTCAACGCCAAGTCCCCTAAAAGCAAGTGAGATAAAATGCAGTCCCTCAGCTTCTCATTGCAGCCCAAGGAGAGTAACTTGCCAGCCTTCCTATCAGTTGTACGCAGTTTGGAAAAAACCATGGAGATGCAACCAAAAACCGCGTTTCCACCGAGATGCAACCATCAGATAATTTTTGCACAGTATGTGTGCCATAGTGCCATACCCTCTCATTGAATTCCTGAACGTCGGGTTACACCTCAAAAAAAAGGGTGGACGTTTACCTGATGGCTCGGGCCCGAGTCGAACGGGCGGAATCAATACTTCAACAAGAATGGCGGACCAAATCAGTGTGAGTATGGGAAGGAAGTGCGTCCCAGAGCTACAGAGCCTCCTTTCTCCATATCCAAGTTGTCAGAGAGCCGATGTTTTTTCTTTTCAGATAAACATAGTTCGCAACGACATGAACGCACATGACACTGTATTCCACCGCCACAGGAGAAACCCCGCGCGCGCGAGTCGAACCGGCGAAGAAATGCAGAAACCCAGAACCAGAACGGTGTTTGGTACAAGCGGTTCCCGAGGGGCGTCTTGCTGATCAGATTAAACCGAGACGAGGCTGCCGCCGCCACAGGTAAAACAAAAGCAGGAAGCCGATTACGGGGTCGAAGTGGTGAAAGGCGCAAGCAAGCTTGGTAACCGCAGGCTGGCGTCGATCCAGGTGGCGAGGAAGAAGCAGCCGACGCGTTGACAAGTCCAAGAGTAAATGGACGGTACCCAGCAACCCGCCGGATCAGCTCCATTTGAATCTCCTCTGCTTGGCCGGGCGGACGAGTGCGCACAAAGGAGTGGTAAGCAGCAAGATGCCGTCGAGCTGTCCTCGGTGGATAGAAGGAATGATAGGTTGGATGCGCGGATAAGTGTTGGGCGGTGAGTAGAAGCGGAGGTAGAGAGGAGGAGAAGGTATGGCCGACCGCGACCCAACCCTATGAAAATAAAAATCAGCGAGGATCCGCCGTCTTCTCGAACGCAGTAAACAAACTCATGAATTTACCCATAAACAACACTGGGGGAATAGCCCGCACGGCGGATGTGAAAGACGCAAGCAAAGTTAGAACCCGACAGAACGAGGGGACAGACAACAGGATGTGGATGTATATACGGATAGGAAGGTGCGGATAGGAAGAAGGTGCGAATATACGGACGGGTAGCTTGTAGATAAATAGCTTGCGGATGGGGTGCGGATACATAGAGACGAGAGGAGACGAACGCCCTATGCCTGCAGATGGAGGTGCAGCGTGTAGCGTTGAGAGGTATATAGCAAAAATTGGATCCAGACCTACAAAAATAAGATCAATCAGCGCACGCCCTCGTATCGACCTTCGCGCAAGTACTCACCGCTCAAGGAGGAAATAAAAATACTATGTCGCGCCCGCCTGCACCACCAAACCCACGAGATTGAGCATGACATCGTTGAAGCTCGCGAGGTTCTGGGCGCCTCGCCTGCACACCGCTCGAGCTAAGTGTGGCGCTGGCCGACACGCTGGAGCTGCTTGGAAGCCCCAGGTGTCGCAGGATGCGCACTGGTCGACAGGAAAAAAGATGAGGAAAGGGGAAATGGAGGAAGAGGAGAAGGGGAAGGAAGGAAAGGTAGGAAAGACGCACCTCATCGACGCAAGTAGCGACCGTGCTCTTCCCATTGTAGTCGATCCTGAGCTGCTTCCCGCAGCACGCCGAGCCGTCCCCGTATTGGTTGTAGTTCATGGCGACGAACTAGCGGCGCAAATGATTGTCGTCAATTTCTCTTTCTATTCAAAGTATGGGAAGGGAGAAGGAAAAACGCACCCAATCGCTATCCTTATGATTCTTCCCCGTGCACGCGTCGGGCCCCGTATTCGTGGGGTACCACGTCATCGCTACGCCCGTTGTATGTGTCTCTCTTCCCCACTGTCTCCATCTCCCGCGAGGTGGCGTTGGCAGGCCCGCGCAGACGAACCGCAAGGTTGTTGTGCGTGCGTGGCACGGCGGGGGCGGGGTGACGCGGCTTGTGTTGAGGTTTGGAGGCGATTGCGCCGGCGGCGCAAAGGAGTAGTGCGCTGACGAAGTGCATCTTCGTCTCGTCTCTAAAGTTTATGGGGTATCGGGTACAGCGGGAGAAGCCTCTAGTAACTGCTGAAGTAAGTCTGAGGGAATGAGCGTCCAAAAGATTGAGCGTGTGTGGAAGGAAAGCGAGCCCAGAGACGGCGACGGCGGCGGCGGGCGACGAGGAAGAGGTGAAGACGAGGTGAAGAGCAACGAACGAACGTGAGAAAGATTGATGGATACGGCGCTGATCATTTGATTGCCACGTGCACGTGCACCATGGTTCAACTTCGTGGTTGGATTTTATCTTGGCTGGAACGGCTTTCATACGCAACGAGTGTGACGTGAGGCTGCTGGCCAACTGGCGCGGGTTATCTGAAATGATTCGACGAAATGCCGCCAGAATGGGACGAAGTGGAGGAACCATCACACGTTGTTACGGTTCTATTAGATTCTATTTTTGTGTACGGCTAAAATTGCCCGCGCCGGCGGCCCTGAGCATCTAACTACCTCTTGCACTCGTCTCATCTCAGTCTGCAGTCCACCCTCGCGGTTGGCGAACCCTTTGCGAAATTCCCCCCGAATCATCGTGATAAGTCTCAATTTCTCTGTGCTTATCACAATTCACAATTTCAACCAGTCTTAACCGACGGGTCCAACCGTTCAGTGCAAGTTCAGTAGGACAGGCCTGTCCAAGGCCTGTCCTCTACTTGGTATCTGGCGCCCGAATCAAAAGAAGACCTCGCCTGGGTCCATAGCACGGGCCCGAGTTGAACGAGCGAGGGCTACAGAAATGATTCACATTCCAACGCAGATGCGCCCGGGACGCCGCGACTACCAAGCCTTCTTCAAGTTCAACTCCCAATATCCGTGATTGGATTCAGCCTTCAATTTCCCCGAGTATGTTCTCAGATCTCAGATCGAATAATTACTAAGAGTTGAGCTTGCAACTTCGCGTCGCCCTTGACCGAGCCCTTGAGTGATATGTATATTCTTCCAACGGGTATGCACACATGGATTTTGGCAGTATCGCACCAGGTGGGTTCAGTCTGCTACGCCACGCCATCGTGGCAAGTACTTTCTGGCTGTTGCTGTAGACACTCTCGCAATATGTACATGCGATAATCCACCGAAAGAAATGTCGCCTACTCCGTATGCCTCAGGCCCGAGTCCATCAGGCATGGTCTGCTGAGATATTATCCGATTAAATGCGGAGTTCAAGTACTTCAGGAGCTCATCTTAAGTCCTAGTCGATTTTTTCGAATTTAAAACTTGAGTTGCTCGCAAGCTGAGTTCTTATGTTGAGTTCCAAGTTCATAGGCACCTCTGTGCCCTGCCTACCGACCAATGATAGCCCGTTATTCGCATTGGGTTTCATGCCTGGACTCTCGCAGTGTCCAGACGAGTTTGGCTACAGCACAAAAAAGGATACACGGCTCTC